TATATATATATAAAGTAGCTGGAAATATGTTATTTGTTGGATGTCGAGATCAGTGAAATTTTGAGTGTGATAAGGAGACATTTTGGTAAACTAATGGATGATCAGTGGGGTGAGAAAAGATAAGTTTGCCCCGTTCAACTGCGGAGAATACTTTTGGGGTAATTTTGTTTGAGAAAACTGTTCACTTGCTGTTTATATAACCATCTCCCGAGCAAGGTTTGATTTTGCCACTATTTTTCCACGCCGTAAAATTAAATTCTATCGTTGGCCAGTGATGGTTATTGTTATTATAGACAGGTTCAATTTGGTGAGAAACAGCCTCAAGAGGGATCTTGTTTTAATTGTACACTGTAATTATAGGATTATATAGGATTTATGAGGGTTTGTAATATTATCTAAGGAGAGAGACTTAATCAGATTTTTTATATAAAAGATATTTGAAATTGATAAAAATGACTATTTGCTTTACGGTTGAGGTAAAATAATTTCGTAAAGATAAAAATGGGCTGTACTTACTTAAATGTCCGTTTGATTAGTTTCCATGAACATAACCCCAAAAACAAAGCTTAAAAAATCACGACTTGAGCAATGCGCGGTTGCCCTCTGGCCCTCTACACCTTAACACCAGTGTGCAAGTTCTCCGTACTGTTCTTTCAAATATTTCCAAGGGTCCTCTAAAGGAGAAATTGTCTAACAATCAGGAACGTCTTGAGTTCGCAACATTTCCTTTACTCTAATGACTTCAGGGGTGATACTATTAGGGAGAAATTCGATGGGCTATGCTATGGGAGAGAGCTTAGATTTACGAGGCTTGAGATTCACTGTGAAACCTTGTCAATTTTTTTAAATTGAAACTTCCCACAGAAACTTTGAATCACACTTTCAACTGTGGCAGATAACGCTTCTAACCAGCGCGCAAGGGTTTATGACTTCGCGCACCTTAGACCCATGAGAAAAAGTCGCCCCATCTCTCTTAAATGCTACAATTATGACACCGGAGAGGGACCTAAACGGTTACATCTGCGCATTCTAGTCAAAATGTGTGCGTTAATTATCGTAACAGAAGTGGAAAGGGAAATTCCTGCCGTTGTATAGTGCGATGTCCAGCTGGTATGGCAGGACCGTACGAAATTTCTTTGGAGTGCATTTATCAAGGAATGATGCGGAGACACTAGCGCTTTTCAAAATCGGCGTTGGCAAATTCCATTTTTAGTTGAAAGACGATACGACCAGTCATGTGACCTGGCCGGTCGGGTTGTTCTCGAGGATAACGTGAGTGTGAATTTGACAAGCGGCATGCTTGGAGGAAAGCTACACTCGTAAAGAAGTGCAGTTGCTAGTTTCAGCTTTCTCTTCAAGTCTGCACCGAACGAAAAAATTTGAAGTGATGCGATTTTACTCCTGAACTTTAGACAGCATAATCATCGCGATTACTGGGCATTGTGTTAGCATTAGTCTGAGTATTTTTAAGTATTTGGGAGAGTCTTAGTGCATTGAATCATACTTTTTTCTTCGAGTTTTCAAAAAATATTTCCACGCAAGCACGGTTTTTTATCAAAATGTTTACCATTATATTAGGAACAGCTCTCCAGTAACATGACATTTTGCTTCTTGAGCCTACTGCTATGTTTACTGTCTGGACAGCAGGCTTAAAAAATGAAAGGCATTTTATGTAGTATACTCTACATGTCCCGGACTTTTCCGGAATATTTCAACACAATCCGCGTTTTTTCTCTGAAAGCATCACTCTTTGGGAAGTGAGATTACTCTGAATAAGTAATCCTCACTTCGACTGGTAACTTCAGCATCTAAAGTGCATTAATTTAAATTTTCTCTGAGTCTAAATCTGACTTTGCAGCATACATATACCCTTGTTGTGCGATTTTTTTATGAATATCATCAGAAATCGTCTGTTAAGTCATCAAGACTGTCTATCTCGGCTTGTGTCTTTTGGATCTTTTTCCTCTCTTCCTGAATCTCGGCTTTAATTCTGTCTCGGTAGAGTGTTAAATTATTGACTTGTCGCTCTTTTTCCTCCGCTTCTGAGGCTTTGGTGTGCAGTTCTTGTGTGAGGAAGGTCAGCTTTTTTTCGCTTTCGTCTTCCCTTTCGTAAGCTCCCTCTTCCCTTTCCTTAAGTCCGTCCATTTGGCTCCTTGCTAGCTGAATACATTCTTGCAGTTTTTCAGCTTTCTCCAAAGCGTCACCTTCTCTTCTGTACACCTGCAAAGGTCAAGGAAAGCAGGTGATTGCCAAAGAGAGTTAAAAGCAATAC